AGTTAAGAGGTTAAAGTGGAATGGAACCTCCTTGCACGAAGAGTGAAGGCTTGTATTTATTGATTAGAAGGCTTTCATGAATGGAGTTTATAGGAATCGTTAGAAGAGGAAATTTGTTTAAAGTCATAAATTATTTATAACATATTCAAGAAAGTTCTCGCTCCACAAGGCTTTTAAGCCAATTTCTTTTTAATCACATGATTATTATCTTCAGATTCATCATCAGTGGGAGCAGCTACAACTAACGTTTGCCTAAGCTACACTAAGAAACACTGCATGAACTAAAGGTTGTGGAAAAAGTTTCGATTCAGGTGATTTGATTGGATGTGTGATTGGATTTATTAAAGGGAAGTGTGCAGCCACTTAATTTGCAGCTCTTGACTTTTCAATATACTCTGCCATTCAATGCAAGTTAAAAGAAGGCTTGAAAAACTATAAACTTGATATATTTTATGTTTTTCTAAATTGCCACATTTTTGAAAACTAAAATCCATTTTTATATTTTTCATGTAAGTACGTGGGAATGTGTGTAGTTCTTTTTATCTTCATTACAAAACGAAAATTTGAAGTTTTTTACGTTCACCATATTCGTGAATATTTTAAAACTTTATTGCCATTCCGTATTGAGATTGTTGCACATCCCTTACACTGCCTCAAAAAAGTATACAAAAGAGCACAGTATAGCAACAAACAATGCTCCCAATCTGTTGAAATCCTATGTGTAGGGCATATCTTATTAAGCATATGATTACCATGGAGGCGTCAAGAAAATTGCATTTTCTGTCATAGAAAAGCGCTCTTAGGTGGCCAGCCTAAACAATTAATGGAATTAAATGTACAACACTAAGTTGCACAGTGAAGTTGTACTACTTTTTTGTAGGTTGTGGAAAGCCAAGGTTCTGTGAGTATTTGACTAAAATTTTTATGTGCAAAGTAATTATTTGATATTTTAATTCAGTTTCTACCGCTCTGTTTTATTTCATTTAATAACTTCATCATATATAAACATTGATCCCTCCGTTTTTACCTTTTTTGTCAAAGCTCTTTGGTTGCTCAACATAAATATCGCTGTCGATTTTTGAAATTTCAGGATCTGCATGTTATTTTCTACTGCATGTGTGCTGAATAATCACACGAAACGTGTTCATTATTGCAGTTGGTTTGAAATGCCTTATAGTCACGCAATAAAATTTTGCTTGCCATATCTCTCCGAAAGACGTTGATTTTAATAAAAATCGGTCAAATTATATGACGTTTGTTTCTTTATCGCTCCCTCGGGAAAAAGCGAATTTTGATTTCCCTGGAAAATCGATATTTTTTTCTATTATTGAACCTTTAAATAACAAACCATAATACGGACTTATAAATTCAACTTTTCTATTAAATTAAAACATCGTCTCTAAAAACAAAAACTCTTACCTTACTTAAGAAAACCCTCCAATAGATTGACATAGTTTATTAATTTTATGCTTACAAGTAAATAAAAAGAATTTCAATATCGCCTTACCCATGTTTTGAGTCAAATGCAATGCTGGAAAATTGTAAGCCTGGTTGAAGCCTCATAACACTTGTAATGTTCTTTTTCAAATAAATTTGGTAGATAATATTCGTGGAGTCAATGTAAAAGATACGACGACCAATCCAGTCAACTGTAATGTCATGAGCAAAAACATTTTTCGCAAAAATTTCGTTTGTAGTCAAGTCAAGATTTCCCCGTTTGATGTCTTTGTCATCAATGTAGTAAAGCACATTCTCCACTACATCAATTTCTATGTCATTATATCTTGATGCATGGTCAGATTTATTCTTACTGGAGCCATTAATAGTGCTGACATGAATATCTCCAGTAATAGAATCAACAGGGTATATTTTATCAAAGCTCATAATAATCAAATATGGCTTTGGATAAACATCTAAATAAATAATAAAAAAATTATAAATAACAACGATGAGAGTGGATTATAAAAATGCAAATTTTTATAGACTTTACGATCATAATATTTGGTGAAAGACCAGAATAAGTATTTTTAGAAAGAATTTTTCACTGTAGAAATATTACTAATAACTGAAATTAGATTGGCTGCACAACTTCTACCTATTTTTGTTGAATATTGTTTTCGGTGCTATGAACAAGAAATTATGAATATTTGTGAAATTTAAAGATTATACCTTTGTAAAAACAAATTGCTGTTTGCATTTGCATCATTTCTTTGTTGTATTGTTTTACTTCCTTGCATGCAGTTGTGTTATCGTCATTGCCATTTTTATCAACGCAAGTTTTCATCCATTCTTTCACGTTGTCTTTTAATGTCTCTAAGCTTTTCTTGCAGATTGATATGTCGTCATTACCATTTACTATTTGGCCACTAATAGACAGGATTATGAGAGTCCCAAGAAACGCTTTTGTTGAGCTTGATATCATCTTTATTTTCTATTTATTAGAAGGTGGACGGTTACTAATTTCTTTAAAGCTTTTGTAGTAAAACATTTACTTTATTTATGAAAGGCTTATCATCAATATAATCATATAATCATTTGTTCTTAAACTTTTTTTGGTATATAAATCAAGTATTGATTTCTATAATTATGTAACATTTTAACTTCCTTCTCCAAAAAGTATGTTCACGTTTGCTTTCAGATAATTTATGATGATTGGATATTGTTGCAATAGATTAGACAAATTGTTCATTACAAAGAATCATGTTTACAACAATTCATACAAGTAGAGTTCATCCGCCTAGAACGTGTTGTGAATAAATAGATGTAAGGTTTCTAGCAAACGAAAGCATAGAAAGAAATAAAACATTTCAATGTCCACTATAAGGAAATGACGCAATATATGAAATTCACCAAGAGCGGTTTAGAAAAAATTTAAAATGGGTTGATTTCAAATTTGCTCACGTTAATCAGTCTACCAGATGAATGGGAAAGACGTATTGCTTAACTAAGCCAGCAAAATTAAATGCCAAATAATCTGTTGCGCAGTGTTTAACAGAGTAGCAGGCCTCTCTGTAACTACATGTCGTCTAGTTACAGAAATGAAGGCCGTTAAACAATACATGATATTCTGCTTTAAAACATCTGTCAGTCGTATAGAGAAGTTCGACTCTCATAATTATATAAATTCTGAATTGAATGAAATTCATGAGTATTTTGACAGAACTGCTAAAGTAAAGAAAATCTAAAAAGCTAAAAAATTCTTACTTCTTCAAATATTTTGTTTTAGACAATTAAAAGGCATTTGCCATTTTTCAAAAATATTCTTGCAATATTGAATAATTGTAGCAGAAGAAACAAGAGACGAAAAATGTATCATTTGTTCTACATGCATTCCTTGCTTTTAAAAATGACTTCTGTATTGATGTTTGATGATGATTTGCCCCATTTCAATTTGTTGAATTATGTACCTCTCTTTCTTTATCATTTCCCTCAATCCTAAAGCTTAGTTTTAATGTCCAATCAAATATTCTTTATCACACATGCATTCAAGTTTTAGTTTACTATCATTCTCATGTAAAAACGTAAAACAGTTTGCAAATATTTTATTATTCTTAAATGTCTATGATAGTTAAAAAACATTTTTTTGTTATCTCTATTTAGAAAAAAATACTTAATGATGGTTTCTTCAAATATTTTTGATGTAGCTACTATTTTCTCTGGCGTATCAATGGAATTATGATATAATATATTTCCAGACATTCATAAATATCAATGAGTAGAACTTTATCATTGGTTGTGTTCAATCAATTCGTTTTTCTTTTCATCATAAAGATAAATATAAAATGATAAAAAGATTTGCGAAACAGTAAAAACTTTTTGAAGAATTTTAAGTTAGTCTAATTACCAAATGGCAGTTATGTATACATGAAGCATAGCTGCGCTACTCCTAACTACAGAAAATGTTTGAAAAAAACATACAAAAACGTTTCATAATGATTTAATTATTTTATAAGATAAAGATTGTGTTAGATTATCCGTTGGATTACGTATAAGCATGACTATGATAAATGAAATGTATGGTCTTGATGAGGAAGTTTAATCCATAAGAGCTATTGTTCTTAAATTATGTGATAGGCTCTAAATTTTAGATTTTCTTCATGTTTTCTTTACTTACCAGTGAAGAGGCAATTTGGCTATCAATGAAATTTCTCTTTTGAATTCTGACGACTTGTTTTCTATTCTTCTCAAACAGCAGCTTAGAAAAAATATAACTGAAGCAGAAACTGTTTTGTCCTAAAGTGCTAGTAATATTGGCTTTTTGAATTTTGATATCAACACAAGACAAGTACTTTTCTGTGGACGGGGACACAAATTTTGATGATTTTTAATTATATTTTGGATAAAGAGCCGTAATGGCAGAAATTTAGTGTCAGAGAAAATATGCAACAAAAATATTTTTTTCAGCAATTCGAAGAAATACCATTTACATTGAAAATAACAGAGAAAATTATTTTAATTCCTTATAACAACACCACGGGAAGAAATGTGTTTATTTTGACGTTATTCAAATTGGTCAACTATTTCAAGTGTCTTTATAAACTAAAAGAAAAATGTGCACTGCAGATGTTAGTTTCCATTCATAGATAAAATACTATAAAGCAAAAAAGAGTATTGTCTATAAGCAACTTTTGTTTAATTCTATAGTTCATTATAATACGATTTACCCCCTTTTTACTTAACCTAACATAAAACTTTCCAAAGTACATCATATTCAAACAACGTTAGTTTCTTAAAGTAAATGGTTTGAGCCCGGGAGTATCGTTACATGTTTGTAAATGATGATCGTCCAGGTTAATAAAGTCCTGAGAAGGACTGTTCTTGTTGTTGTTGATTGACGTTTCGACAACCTTAGCGGTAGTCATCTTCAGAATCAAATGAGGAGTAAATGTCAGGTTAGCCGTATTTTTTATCTGGTTCTTACGTCATTGTATTGTGTGTAGAGGAAATGTGTATTGTCATTGTGAATTAGTGTGAAGTGAAATATTTTATTTTTAGTTGTGATGTGTGATTTAGGTGTGATGTTTTTATTTGTAATGTGTGGGTTATCAATTGTGTATATTCATTGTGAATTAGTGTGAAGTGTAACGTTTTTAGTTGATTGTTTGTTTGTATTATGAATATGTCGTTTGTAAGGTGCCGGTAATTGCTGTGATCTGTTCAGGGGGGTTTGTTCCAAGCTGGTATACCAACTTTCAAATGTAAACCGTTGTCTATAGTCAGTATTGTAAGTAATGCATTTTGCCGAGTCCCAGTCAATGTTGTGCTTTGTGATTCGGTGATGTTGGGCAATGTGATTAGTTTTGTCTTGTTTCTTAGTAGCTCGTTTTGTGTTCAGTAAGTCTTATGTTTAAGTTCCTGACAGTTTCCCCGATATAGGAGGCGTGGCAGTCGGAGCAGTTTATTTTGTAAACTGCACCTTGTCGTTCGTTGGGTTGTTCTTTGTCCTTTATGTTAGTTAGTACTTGTCGTAACGTTGTGATTGGTTTATGTGCGACACGTATGTCGTATGGCCGTAAGATACGCGTGATAGTCTCAGACGTACCTTTGATGTAAGGTATCGTTGCTGTTGTCACTGAGTTGTTCGTTTCGTTGGTTTCGTTGGGTTTGTAAGTGCTGTGTTTGATAAAGTCAGAGTTATAGTTGTTTTTGTCAAAAACACGATCGAGATAGTTGTTTTCGTTTTGTAGATCGTCCGGTGAATGACGTATGATTTGTGCACGTCTTGCTAATGTTCTGATTGTGGTGGCTTTGTTTGATGTAGGGTTGTAAGATGATTGGTCTGGTAGTGGGTCAGTATGTGTTGGCTTGCGATAAACTGTTGTTCGTAGTTTTTGATTGTCATGTTTTACCAAACAGTCGAGAAAAGGAAGAGTTCCGTTTTCTTCGACATTTTTGGTATATTGTATGTGGCTGCTCTGTTTGTTGATGTGAGTATAGAAGTCATCAATCTCGTCTGCATGTTGTGCTGTGATTGTGTCATCTACGTAGCGAAACCAAAAAGGCAATAAAACAACCATATTGTACCCATAATGCTTTTCAACCGGCTGCTTATCTTCCTTCTTGAACATTTTAAATTATTTATTTCATCAAAACTGTTCAACTTTTCTTATTTTAAAGATCGTTTACCTTGTCAAACTTTTTTATAATATTTGTTATTTTTTGATTCAGAGGATACGATATTGGTAATCATTTCAGTGAATGGATATTTGATTACAATCATCCACATTATCCCTTTTTTACCGGAGACGTCACCAAATATCCTTCTTATGATCAAAAGGTAATTCACTAATATATGTAATAATTTAAGAAAATATAAAAACAGTTTTATGGTTAAAAATAACCCCCGAACTATAGTTCATATGAAAAGGATGATCTGCTGTTTACAATGTGGCTATCTATTATTGCTTGATTTGAGTTACAACATTTTTAGCTACCATGTGTTAATGATGTGATGATTGTGCTTTTCCTTGCGGTATAACTCTTTATTCTCAGTACTTTATTTCTGTTTCTCTCGTGTTTTTTTTTGCTTTTGATTGCTTTGCTTATTTTGCTTTCTCCTCTCCTTGTTTTGCCGTAGAGGTATTTCCCTCGGTGTTTTGCCGTAGAGGTCCCCCCCGGTGTTTTGCCGTAGAGATTCTCCCTCGGTGTTTTGCCGTACAGGTTTTCCCCCGGTGTTTGCCGTAGAGGTTTTTTGTCGTCTGTGTTTTGCCGTAGAGGTTTTTGTCGACGGTGTTTTGCCGTAGAGGTATTTCCCTCGGTGTTTTGCCGTAGAGGTTTTCCCCGGTGTTTTGCCGTAGAGGTTTTTTGTCGTCGGTGTTTTGCCGTAGAGGTATTTCCCTCGGTGCTATGCCGTAGAGGTCCCCCGGTGTTTTTCCGTAGAGGTTTTCCATCGGTGTTTTGCCGTAGAGGTATTTCCATTGAGATCTATGAGACCTGGAGGGAACACGTTAACAAAATTACTATAAATTATTAGTGCGCGGCCCGTGGTCAAAAACATGGCGGATTTTGGTTGTCAAAGTCAGCGGGAAGGCGCGGGCTCATGAAATAAAAATTTCGTGAAAAATTCTTAGTCTAAACTCTTCGAAATTTCAGGTATTTTTCGTCCGTGCGTATCTTTTGACCGTCCGTCCGTGCGCTTCAGCTTTGTGTACAGCAAATTTTGAGCAAGGGTCTAAACATATTTTTATATGAAAACACAGGTGAATTTGGTATTTTAGTTTAAAAGTTTCTCTACATAATCAAACAACTAAACGATGAGAAACATGTTAGTGCAAAAAGAACATCTTTATTGTAAATATCTTTGTCAATTGTCCATTGAATAAACCTTAATATTATACACAGCATTCAAGTAAGACTGTAGTAGCAAAATGTAATGCGTTATAAAAGACTTTTCTGTTAACTGTGTGTTCTCTTGAACACAATTATCGCCATTTAGGAACTGCTGGGGATTCATTATCCGCCCATAAAAACAAGTCGTTTACGACAAAAGATTCAGATAACGATACAGATGTTGTAGGAAACTGCGCTGTACATGCTAAAGGTGCTTGGTGGTATTATTATTGTTATGATTCCAACCTAAATGGGTATTATTATCATGGCAATTATCAACCTTCTGCATCTTGGTAGAAAGGTGTTGTTTGGAAGGACTGGAAAGGATTTTCTTATTCATTGAAGTTCACTGAAATGAAAATAAAACCATCGGGAAATTTTTAATAAAGTGATGATTTCATGACTATAATGAATATATCTGTAGTGAACATAATGTATTTTGTCGTAGAATTTGTTGCTTATGGTCTTTACAATAAAATAAATCTCTACAGTCTTTATTCGTGTTGATTGATTGGCAGATGGATTTTTATATAAACTTGGTATAGTATTTACTGAAACCGTATCGCAAAAAGGCAACCCAACTACAGCTCGCTCTTGTGCATAACTAAAATTACTAAATAAGTTACCATGATTTTTTACCATAGTGAAAAATCAGTACCTGAGCTTTCAAATGTTGCGTGTTTGTATCAAAATATAAATTTCCTTTTTATCTCCTTGAAGAAGAAAAGCAGCTGCAGCAGTTTTTGATTTCTCATATTTTGACTTGTATCCGTTTAGTGTTTAAAATGCTTCATATCTTTTTGATGAACTTTTTACTGCGTTGAGAATAGTTCGCAAACTTGCTGTTGAGCTTTAAGCAATGTAGCTATGTAAACTAAAAAGTAGGTTGCTAGCGGTAACTCGTTGGTAATTCGTTGGTATGTTATTGGAAACTTGTTGAGGCATTGGTAACACGTGAGTATGTTTAAGTAACTTGTTGTGAAGTTATTGGTAATTAAGTCGTTTGTAGGTTGAAGAAAGCTTGATAAAATTGAACGTAGTTGAAGCATCTAGCGTACACTCAAGAATATGGAATGTGACTCGTGGACCAAAGAAAATGCGAATGATTCCAACCATGTTGACGACGATAAAAGCTCTATACCCCTGGCGAAGACGATGTTTCAATACCAAAACAATCGATTAACAAAACCGAGTCTTCTGGAGATGTTGTTTAAAGAAATATCGATGAATCATACTTATACTTTTTAAGCTCGTTGGCTCAAGTGGTATATAGTAGTGGGAATTGTTCATGATCTTGCTAAAGACATGAAAAAATTCATACCAGTGTCTTTGCTTTAGGACGAGGAATCTGATTTTGAAAGTGAAGAGGAAGCAATCACCACAAGAGATTTGCATGCAAGAAGATTTAAAGTGTACTCTGCAAAGTTTGTAAATACGGATGGAGTGTTGTGAGAAGAGTACACAGAAAATTTTTCAGTTTCTTCCCGAGATTGTAGAAGATATTAGTTCACTTTCATTTACATGTAGAAACTTTCCAGTATTGCATGTCCTACCTTTGGCGGCCCAGAAATCTGTTTATGTTTTTTATACAATCGATTTATGTAGTAAGTATATTTCTTGATTTATATGCAATGTTTGTTACGTGGACTATCTCGCGTGAGTTACACGTATGTATGGTCTTAAAGGTCTTAAATTTTGACAAGGTAGGCAACTCTCAATACAAATTAACGACCGTTAACAGAAACACTTTCAAAAAACCATAAATATCTTATAAGTACATGGAAGACCACGAAAAAATACATCTCATTTGTCATGAATAATTTTACTGCATTTTTGCAGTTTTTTTTACATTAAAATGTATTTCGATGCATATGAAAAATGCGAATATTTTTAGGTTTTGTACCAAATATTTCTCAAAACCTATGCTAGGACACTTATCTAAACATTCGTCATATTTTTGAATGCTCAAACGCAATGCAGATTGGCTAAAATTGTTTTCTCATTCATTCCGATTGGATAATATTATTTTTGATTGTTTTCACAAAAATTCAGCGCCTACACCTCCCCCCGCGCTCAACGTTATTGATGGTGTTTGTCGGAAATTTGGAAACCTGTGGGAATTTTTGAAGTGAAACGGCAAAGTGATGAAAGTGATTATTTATTCAATTGTACAACAAAAATGAAATATATTTGGACTTTAAATCCATTCTCACCAATAAAATTAATAGCTATAGATTGTGTGCCATTTGTAATAATTTTTTATCAAATTCTTTGCAGTAATTTATAAGTAGGTAGCAAATTGTAAAAGATATTCACGTGTTAAGTTCAGTGTCCATCAAATTTCCTTATTCTCCAAATGTCATTAATCATTTCCGATAAAAACAGATAAGCAGTACTATGACAGAAAAACGCCTTTTGAATCTCACGTGTATTTCCATCAACCGCGAGAAATTAATTCGGAAATTTCCGTTTGAGAACTTCAAATGCCTTTCTTGAACGACAAAACTAGGAGAATTTTTTAATAATCATTTGTTATTTCACATTTGTTGCACTTGGTTTATTTAAAATGGTATATCCGTATGTATATTCATTTGTACACAGTTTTTAAACCCCATTTTTAAAAAATACATTTCTTTTAGCCACGTCCAAATTGCCACGCCCTGTTGTAGGAAAATTTATGTATCAGCACTGTCAAAGAAATTCTTAGCTACGCCACTGGTTACAGTACATTTCTTGCTATCACTAATCATTTGTAATATTACAATTACTAATTAACGATGATAATTTAATTACTTAATATTATTACTGTAAGCAATGCACATTACAAGTAAATAGTTTGAACCCGGGAGTATCGTTACATGTTTGTAAATGTAGATCGTCCAGGTTGGTATAGTCCTGAGAAGGACTGTTTTTGTTGTTGTTGACTGACGTTTCGACAACCTTAGCGGTAGTCATTTTCAGAGTCAAAAGCACATTTCATTACCATGTTAATCGTTTTCTAGAAGTCCTTTGGCTCTGCGTTTTCACGATTAGTTTTGTTGGATATGATTTTGTGATATTGACAGATGTAGTTTACACGTCACTTCATAACAGGAAATGGTAGACCGCCTTCTGTGCACGAATGAATAAGTATCACATGGCTAAAGCTTTGTTTATGTTGAATCATGTCATTTGTTGCATGTACTTTGTGCAAAGTTCTTGCAATTTTACACCTCATCTCACCAAACGACCTCATGATCGACCTTCAACGACCGTAGAATCAGTGATTGTTGTCATTTCCTGAGTAAATTCGACACATTTCTCAAGCCATCACTAAAATGACTGCGTTGTTGCTTGGCTGGTTTCGACCATGCTTCGCTACAAAGTTCTGCGTAGTTTGAAAAATTATTTTCTTACTGGAAAAATGGTTGACGCTAAGATCAGAGATTTCGGCTATAATTTATGTCGAAAATATCTCGGTGGGGAATGGAAGAAAATCAGTCCACAGCATTTTGTAATTGAACGAATTCAGTAAGTACAATTTTCAAATACGTAACTGTAAGAACTATATTGTTTAGATGGGGCGACAATTATTTGATGGTAAAATGTTCTCAATGATATTTAAGGTGAAAATATTCTCTATATCTCTATTGCCAACATTTTAAAGAGTACTGGGCTGTTTGTGTTTGCTGCCACACTAAATTTCTTCTCAAGATTTATGTGTTTCGATGCAATATGAAAGATTTTCTGCAGTTTAGCAAGGCTGCAGATTGCAAAGTGTGATGGATTTCAAAAAGATATCTTCGGTGTGTAAAAGGCCACACCTAAAGTCCAGGTTCATCTTAATATGTAGAAATTTCTCCAGCAATTATGCCAGCCAAATAAACACTGAATTCTGCAATTGCAGAATTCTCTGGTGTCTGTCCATGAAAGTGGTAAAATTTCTCAAGTTCAGCTAATTTTTTTGTAATTTCCAACTTCCATGTCTCATATTTCTTATGTCTGATATTTTCTTGTTCAAAGTTGTTTTAGTTCTGTTCAGGGGTGGAGGCAGAATACATACGTGAAATAAAATAAGCATCCTTGCTTTATATGCAAAGTACCTTCATAATAGTGCCTTTGATTTAGAAATTAATTTCGGAAAGAAAAAATCTTGTAAGATATGATTAATCTAAGAATGGGCTTATTTTGTATATTTATCTAACCAATGCTCAGATCTTACCTCTATGCTTATCTATCTTTGTTCTTCTGTTGATAAACTTACCTCTCAGAGGAGATGAAATCATAGTTTGAGTGATTATTTTAACCAATACGCTTTTAACAATTACAGTGGTGGATTAACAAATCATTTGTTTCTGTGCTCTCTGCCACATGAATATGCAAATTCAAATCCTGATGGTGTGAACAAATCACTGCTTCGGATATATGGTGCATTTTATGCAGATTTGTCTGACAACAATGTTCGCATGATGGAAGAATGCATCATTTGCGACCTTTTAGCTGAAAAAAAGATGGCCCCAGAGTTGTATGGTATATTTCCTGAAGGAAGACTTGAACAGTTTATTCCTAATGTAAGTAGAAAAAAAAATCAGCAATTAATGTAAGGAAAGTTTATCTTTTTGTAGTGAGTATATCACCTGCTTGTATGGAAAGAACGTGCCCTAGCTTTCCTGCTTTAATTTCAATTTAAATCTGTTCTAGCACAGCTGAGTTTGTATTCCACTGATAATAGTATAATCAGTATTGATTATTTCATACTCATTATACAGTCTGTATAGAAAAATTGTAAATTCATTCTCATTTGTGTTGGAAAGAATTTATAATTTTTGAATTAAACTGTTAAATAGTTGAAATGTTTGCAACATAAATTTTTGCATTGTTTACCAAAGTTTAATTTACTTGTGTTGTAATTTGTTAAAGGTTCGAGCATTGACTAGTCGGGAAGTCCAGTATCCTCGTTTATCAAAACAAATAGCTGAGCATGTAGCTGCATTTCATAAGCTAAAACTTCTCTCTCAAAGGAAGGAACTTGGTTTTGGATTCACTTCAAATGTGAGTTTGACTTTTGAATCTTTTGCACCAATCTGAATTAGTTTTGAAGTAAACCCACTTTCTGTTACAACTTTTTAAAATATATTCAAGACTTCATATTGTTCAAATGACCTCACCATCTCCTTATATTATTATTTTATCAGTGTACAGTATATAATACATTGATTGTAAATAAACTATATTTTTTTTGATAGATTTGTGAAGGAAATTAAAGGTCTTGAATTTTCCAATGTTGATAAATTAAAGATCTTGGATGAAATTTTTCATAAATTTGACATTGATGAAATTCTCAAATTTATCAGGTATGGAAAATAGTCTGCTACTCAAACACAGAACGGTCATGGGGACTAGAGAGACTAGGCGACTAGGGGACTAGGGAGGTCACAGGGGGGGGCTTGTTGGGAAACTAGTGTGTCTACAGGTGGGGTATTTACATGATTTTGTGATTTCAGACATTTTAAATTAACGACGAGTTTTTTTATCGTAAACATGTTTCGGCATGCTTATGCCATCTTCAGTACATAGAATTAAGGTGATTATGCTATTTACATGATATATATATATGTATGTGTATGTGACTATCGTTAAGTGTATCAAATTACAGAACTAGTGTTAGATATTATATTACAGGTTAAATATTGTATTAATGTGGTATATTTGTTTGTTGAGGTCTGGTTTGAGCTTTTTAATGTAGAGCGCTTCTTTCAGTTTAAGTGAAAAAGGAGAGTTGGCGGTGTCTAAGATGCGAAAACATGAATGGTTGTATTTTGATTTGCAATGTAGTGAAGTGTGAAGGTGTTTATAAATATGTAATTTTTTTTCGGAATGTGTGTGTTCTTTAATGCTTGTGGAAAGATGGCGAGTATGCCGAAACATGTTTACGATAAAAAAACTCGTCGTTCATTTAAAATGTCTGATATCCATCGTGCTTTTAAGAAATTTTGTGATTATAATTGAGATCATACATTGTGACTGACTGAGCGTACGTACGATGTAGGATTACCTAGAAAAGTAGATGATACTGACGGTTTTCCCTTTTTAAAGTTGTCTTACTCTTTGATTTTCTGGTATTTTGAAAATAAATTTATGATTGGCGCTGATTGGTTGAATGCCCGAAAACCCCGTGTTTCAGAAACTCTTTTTCAGTCTCGCAAAAGTATCGCAGATTGCGTGGTTTGCGTGGAAACAGAAAATTTAAACAATATGTCGTTAAATTTGTCTTTTTAATGTTGGTTTTCATTTATGAATGAAATACATACTTGTGAAAGTTTTGGAGCAACTCGAAATTCATTGAAAGTACTCAATTCGTGCTCGTGCTTGGCACATAATTTATTTTTTCTTCCAAACTTTCCCGCGTTTAGAAACACAGTAAATTTTTTTTATTACTTACATGATAAATGAATGCTTATTTTTATACGTATGCATTAGGTTGTCCTTGTCTGTTTAAGCTACTACTACTGCTAGTCAGTAGTCTGACAGTGATGTTCAAAATTGTATGCTTCATGCCAGATGAAGATCAAATATAGACGTCATGATAGAATAATAATGTTTCTTATTTTACTGTGGTTTTTTTTATTATGCTGCATTTGGACTAAGTAGCCTTTACTTAAGAATTTTTACAACGAAGAACATTACATGAAAGCAATTATTATCACGTACTTACTTATTTGGACACACAGTCAATCAACCACAGTACTAAATGAATAAAAACAATAGATTTTTTAATTACTTTAAATTCACATAATCACAAATCATTAATTTATTTAATGATATAATATGAGACATTAACTGCTGAAATGCTATGCACAAACCATATACAAAGTTAATTAAACTGAAAATACTTTTGTGCCGAAAAGATGTTTTAGGATCAATGAATTTAAGTGTTGCTTACATTATTGTTATTTTGTTGTTGATGTGTTAGGCACGTGGTTGAAAACAGCCAATCACCAGTTTTCTTCTGCCATAATGACGTACAACCAGGTAATGATTTACAACTAGGTTATTGTGAATATTATGGGTTTTTAATAAAGGTTAAATATAATTTAAATACCTACAGGAAACTTGTTGGTGAAAGCAAATGAAGATCTCGATGAGGCAAAAATACGTGTGATTGATTTCGAATATTCTTGTTATAACTACAGGTGAAAAAAAAGAGAGAAGGATAATTTTCGTTTAAACCGCAAATGAGGAAGGAAGAAAGGAAACATTTTGTTCTATATCTGGAATATTATTTCATCTTTGCGCTGCGTAGAGTTGTCAAATATTATGATAGCAAGGGTTTTGTTTGTTCACTTAAAGCAGTCATCAATTGAGCAAGGGGGGGGGGGAGAGCTGGCAACAAAACAACCATATTGTACCCATAATGCTTTTCAACCGGCTGCTTATCTTTCTTTTGGAACATTTTAAATTATTTATTTCATCAAAACTTTTCAACTTTTCTTATTTTAAACATCGTTTACCTTATCAAACTTTTTTATAATATTTGTTATTTTTTTATTCAGAGGATACGATATTGGTAATCATTTCAGTGAATGGATATTTGATTATAATCATCCACATTATCCCTTTTTTACTGGAGACGTCACCAAATATCCTTCTTATGATCAAAAGGTAATTCACTAATAAAAGTAATGCTTTTTCCTCTCGGTGTTTTGCCGTAGAGATTTTTTGTCGTCGGTGTTTTGCCGTAGAGGTTTTTTGTCGTCGGTGTTTTGCCATAGATTTTTGTCGTCGGTGTTTTGCCTTAGAGATTTTTTGTCGTCGGTGTTTTGCCGTGGAGATTTTTTGTCGTCGGTGTTTTGCCATAGAGGTTTTTGTCGTCGGTGTTTTGCCGTAGAGATTTTTGTCGTCGTTGTTTTGCCGTAGAGGTTTTTTGTCGTCGGTGTTTTGCCGGAGATTTTTGTCGTCGATGTTTTGCCGTAGAGGTTTTTGTCGTCGGTGTTTTGCCGTAGAGATTTTTTGTCGTCGTTGTTTTGTCAGATTTGTCAAAACAAAATTTTGCTCCAGATTTTTACCGTCGATGTTTTATTGTAGAGGTTTTATTCGTCGGTGTTTTGTCAAGATTTTATGTCGATAAGTTTTATTGCCGAGATTTTTGTCGCTGGTTTTGTCAGAGATTTTGTCGTCGATGTTTTGTCGCCAGGATTTTGTCGTCGAGGTTTGTGCCGAGGATTTTTATCGTCGGTGTTTTGTCAGAAGTTTTTGTCGTTGGTGTTTTGTAGATTTTTATCGTCGTGTTTGGCTTCATAGAGGTTTTTATTCATCGGTTTTATTATTGATATTTTTTGTCGTCGGTGTTTGTAGAAATTTTTTATTCGTCGGTGTTTTATTGCCGAGATTTTATCGTCGGGTTTTCATTATTAGAGGTTTTTATTCGTCGGTTTTTTTCGTAGAGGTTTTTTTTCGTCGGTTTGTTTTCGTAGAGGTTTTATCGAGGTTTTGTCAGGAGGTATTTCCCTGGATGTTTTGCCGTAGAGATATTTCCCTCGGTGTTTTGCCGTAGAGGTATTTCCTCTGTGTTTTGCTGTAGAGGTTTCCCCCGGTGTTTTGCCGTAGAGGTATTCCTCGGTGTTTGCCGTAGTAACCCCCGATGTTTTGCCGTTGGGATATTTCCTCGGTGTTTTGTTGTAGAGGTATTTCCTCGGTGTTTTGCCGTAGAGGTTTCCTTTACTGTTTTGAGGTTTCCTTCCGGTGTTTTGCCGTAGAGGTTTCCCCCCTCCGGTGTTTTGCCGTAGAGGTTTCCCTCGGTGTTTTGCCGTAGAGGTCCCCTGTTGTTTTGACGTAGAGGTTCTTCCCCGGTGTTTTGCCGTAGAGGTTTTCCTCGGTGTTTCTGTTGAGGTTTAGTGTATGCAAAATTTGCATAAAAACTGTTTTTTTTTGTCCTCGACATTTTCCTGAAGGTTAACTGTTTTTATATCACTTAAACTCTTCGAAATTTCTGGTATTTTTTGTCCGTGCGTATTTACAATCTTACAATGAAACGACTGACGTCACGTTAGACGAGATTGAAAAAGTTATCGACGAAGCTGATTGGTATATATTTTAACAATCGTCCTCTTGTATTAATATAGCGCGAGATAAATTTTGGAAATTCTTAGATTTCTATGAGAACGTATGTCTTGACAGATTTATTTTCACTGTCGTAGTTCTCGTTTATTTAAGGTTCAGTTTTTGGAATACGTCAGTTTAGGGTTTAATGACGCCATTTAATTTAGGTCGGTTTTATGTATACCTTTATAGGCTTTTATTACACAGCCTATTCAAGTAACTTTTTACCTATTGTACGCATGTGCTTACATATTGGCGTCGGTTTTGTTTTTCTGCGAATAAATGTTTTAATTTTACGTATGTTTTAAAAATATTTATGAAATAACATCATTCAGCTTTGTTTTCCTTTTTTCTATAGATTGTCTCTTCTTTCTCATTTCTTTTGGGCGATGTTTTCAATTCTTCAGAGTTATAAATCCTCGATCAATTTTGGTTATCTCGTAAGTAGATGAATTGTTGAATAGTGTTGTTTACCGTTAGATTTACATACGTGACTGAATTTGGCTTTTTCTTTGTTGTATTGTCGTACCGTGGTAATATACCTTAAACAACATTTGATATTTTTAAAATACCATATCTTATAAGGAACATTCTACATCGAACAATGTTAGAAATGTGCACCACCACTTCATCAACATTTTGCATATAGTGTGCGGTATTTCTTTACAAACATTTGTGTAAATGCATGGTCTTTTGCATTAAGTTCTTTCCATGTGGATTTATTCAGAACAGATGTCACCATTCATTAATCTCTCATACGTTACGCATTTCATTGTCTTACTAATTTGTACATAATGAGCACCTCTTATTGTGGACAAACGTTAAAGCAACGTAACACTTTGCATGGATTTCATTAATTAAAAAATTCCCAGCTGTATTATTAACCGAACGATCTCGTATTCAAAGTATTAATCTCACATACAACGTATTAGTCTCACATACAACGTATTAGTCTCACATACAACGTATTACTCTCACATACAACGTATTACTCTCACATACAACGTATTAATCTCACATACAACGTATTAGTCTCACATACAACGTATTAATCTCACATACAACGTATTAGTCTCACATACAACGTATTAATCTCACATACAACGTATTAGTCTCACATACAACGTATTAATCTCACATACAACGTATTAGTCTCACATACAACGTATTTAAAAACGTCAGAAAATATCTAGAGAAATGCGAACATCTACTTAAATAGGAAATGTTACGCAAGATGGTAGTTTAAACAGTTCTTAAAAAGAACTGTGAGTTACAAGCCTTTTATCACCATTGTCCAGTATTATTTGAAATAAAAGATGTTTTGCGAAATATGTATTTTGTTTTTTCTATGAAATAACAATAATGGAAACGAATGAATTCCAAAAAAATTTTTTGAACTTTTCTTTTTACATGTATTGATGATTAATTTCTAAATTGTCTTTAATTGATTTAATTAATTAAGCTGAGCAAAGGCTATTGAAAACTGACCTGTAGTCCAAGCAGCGTATTGCGTTATATCTTTTTGTTGTTTTCTAAAGGATAGACAAAAAATATTCCTTTTTTTGTTTATTAAAATATGTTCATAGGAAATTTTATTAAAACCTAAACAGACAAACAGAGTTATTTGCATGCAGAGTAACTGGTGCATTATTGTACGTTGAATGGGGCCTCTAACATGTACACAAACTTGTTTACATTTTTGCTGTAAATTTTGTCTCAATTACTCTTTAGTAAATTTTATTTTAATAAGATTGCCTTTTCAGTATAATGGGATGATGTTATGGATTTCCTTAAGGCTAAAGTTGATTTGTAGTTAATATGTCTTCATCTACTTGATTACTTCTCTTTTTCTTTCAGGAATACGCCCTTTTTCGAATGGAATGCTTAAATCATTTCAGGCATTTTTCCGAGGAGAAACCTGGAGACAAGTTGCGTCATGATAATGGTAAAATCCATTGTGATGTTTAGGGTGAACTTTGAGCCCGTCACAAGTTGCTGATGATCGAGAAATTCATTTTTTGGTGATTAGAAAGATTATCATTCAGATGTAGCATGTATGTAAATTATGAATAACGGGGTTTCTTTTTGATTTTCTAATTACTAACAGTAATGGGCTTAAATGTGATGTGTGTATGAGTGCGTTCACTTGTGTGAATTTCTACTCAAATTTTCAAATGAATAATCTAGTGGTTTAACTCTATCTAAACAACAAGCAGTTAGACACACTGTGTTGTCAATAGGTTACGTGCAACCATTCTCTTTGGCGGGAACAAGATTGTTTCATGACAAACCAGATAATATATCAGATAGTCGCATGACATGCATGATAAATCCAAGATGGCGTGAGAACGAGGCAAAAAACATCAAAATTTTTTGCAATTAACTTTCACCACAAACGTCAAAGAAATGAAAGAAAAGACGCCACTGCAAAACTATATCATTAAATCTGCCATCATTTGGGGAAAAAAGTTATTATTTTACCACAGCATTTTTCAACAATATTTTCCACGCTGTTTTAAAAGAATGATGATTGTAAAGGTTCTATTGAAAGAATTATTATCAAATGTCAATACTATGCGAAGTTTCATAAGATGTATTCATGAAAGTTAAGAAAAAACAATAATTAAAAATTCTTTGTCATTTTCATTTTCATCTCTGAAAACTTTAAGGATTTATGGTTGTTTTTCCAATGATACCAACTCACACTATTCCCACTGTTGTATGCTCTACTATAGTAGTGCCCATTCAGGTTGGAATAATGACAATTATTATACCACCAAGCACCTTTGCTGCCAATGGCGCAGTTTCCACTATTTCTATCATTATCTGAATCTTTGGTTGAAAACGCCATGCCATTATGATAAGATAATGAATCTCCAGCATTTCCTAAGAAAAGTAATTTTGCTCGGTAAAATTTTACGTTATTTAACTAATGTTGTCTTACAATTCTCCTTAAGAATTGCAGAAAATACCCAACGCGTATTTCATGTTGTTAATAGAAGATTTCAAGAGATTTTTTAACGGTCATTTGTTTAGGAGGCTTTTATGAGATTTGTCAATTGGTTTTTCATTTAATTTATAGAGTAAAAAAGAAGTGGTATAAATACCGAAAAGTATTACAAGCCCGAGTTTTCATTAGATATATTCACTCCCATGCTCATTATTAAGTTTTATACAAAGCTAAAATCGAATTTTACTGGTTAATGTTAGCGGAAATTCCAACCATAATCATGCACAATGTACTCGCTGGTATTATAGTTGTTGTTACTAATTTATTAAACCATTTATCCTTCTCGAAATCAAATAAATTGCAAAAGTAAAAGTTGTCTACGAATTAGCTACATGTCACGAAGGCTTTTCAACTTTCTTTCACCCCACCTTCATTGCCCTGAAGTTTTTTCTCTATCCAGTCTATTCACATTGATCTCAATTGGTACCTGGTCTGATTCTTATTGTATTATAGATTTTCAAAATTTGATTACTTAAGCCTGCTTCATACATCGCGTTTTACATGAGCCGAATGCATTTAAAACAAGAGATAATGTGGAATTGTATCTCATTTTCTTTTGTCTTTAATGCGTTCGGTGCCAGAGCCCTCTGTTTGTAAGAGTTAGGACAACGGGTCTGGTGCGAGCGCGGAGCCGTCATTTTCGTGACTACTTGCAAGTTAAACTTATAATAAAACTGTGTGAAATTGGTTAATGAGCAAAAGAATAAAGAAATTCCGCCTTGTTCAATGGAAATTTTAAATATATTGGAAACCACAATCTAGCTTTTGGCGTTTTTGTGAATAATTACTGCAAACCAAACTCAATTTCGTGGATTTGAGCTACATTCGCGGTTGACTAGTTCGTGCTTTAAAACTAATCGTGACCCACTGCAAGGCATTTTTACGTATGTGAACGTATATTCTTGCAGTTTTCAACTACAGCACCAAGATATTTGTTTTCATTGCTTATAATTTACCAGCGATAAAGAAAATACTCGACATTTTGGTTGCATATTCCTGTTCGGGAAAACACGTTACTACACATATCTCCAGATTTGAATCAATGCTTTGGCAGGTATAATTTATGTCAAAATATATCACTGCAGCTCATTTTTGGTTATATTTACATTTAGAAAACGTGGAGGCTACTTAACTGGTAAAAATATATTCTTTAGAAATTCATCACTAATAATCTTATTCTAAAATTAAAAGTATTTTGAATTTACAATTGAGCTGCTATAATTTATTTTGACTTAAACTTTGCCTACCATCAAATCAGTTTATCAAGTTTTGTTTTGAAGCACTGTAGTCATAAAATTTTGCTTAGGTAGTACATATTTTGTGCATGTAGTCAAGACTTAAAAATTTAATGCAGACAGATTACAAAGGTTTTTTGCTGGAAAATTATGAATTTAAAATATTTCTTAGATGCAGGTAATCATGTGATCGATATTGTCCAGTCAACGTTCAAAACCAGAGAACAATACATGTCCCAACTTTACAAATGAGGGCTCTGTTCGGTGTATGTAAAGTTTGACGTATGAAACAGACCTTACTTAATGGCGTACTTGGGTATTTTCCGAGGCTCAATTGTTATATTTGTGTTTCATGCTTATAAATGTGAATTGTTCATGTAAACTTTAATAAATTTCTGTTATGTTTTAGGTTGTTGCTATAAGTTCATAAAAAACTTTTATATGTAAGAACAAGTTATAATGTATATATCATTTAGGCATTAAAACTTGCATTTACAATTAATTACTGGGAGCTTACTTGAATGCATGCATTTTGTTAAAAAGATTTCAGTCAATGATCATTAGACAATGATATTCACAGTATAGATTCTTTCTTATGTACCAAATGATTTAGTCGTGTTTATTAGATACATGTTGTTCATGTGCTAGGTTATCATTACCTAATTTACAAAGCTGCAGTTGAAATTACATTTAATGTTGATTATAAGCTAATCACAATTATTACATGTCACAATCAATCGTTGCAACAGAATTATTGGCAAAACAGAACGACTTTTTACTTTACGTTTGTTTGTTGTATTTTTTCGGTAAGTTTTTAACCTTAAAATTAATTATATTTTTATTGACAAACAAGGCTTTAGTTCGAAACCAACCTTTACTATCCGTTTTTATCAAAACTTGAGAATCCCCGTTGCAAACTGCAATCACTCAAATCATTCAAAATATTGTATATATCAAAATATTTTTCCCTCAAACGTTTATATTAACGTATTAACTTACCAGAATATTTACCAAGACTTAGTTGATATTTTTATTTTCATTCTTTACAGCAAAATAATCATATTCAGCATATGCTTTGTTTCCTGACCAGTCTCCTAGATCTACACGAAGTTTATTTCTCCTTGCAGATGTTAGTCGGTATATTTTATCTAATCCAAGCCAGAATTCGCCTTTCAGATCACCAAAACCTTGTTTATAGTCTTTCCAACCTCGATAGAAGTTTACACTTCCATCTTGACGTCGTTGAAACACAGTCCAACCTCCACCAGATGACTTCATATCACAGAAAACCTTAAAGTAACCCTGACCATCAGGATTAATTTGATAAACTCCGTTCTTTTTTCACCTTTTGTAAAGATCTGCGCAGTCTTTCCTGGTAATGTAAACAAAGAGATCTGCCATGAAATAATATGTTGTTAAATGTCACTCTTGTTTCTTAAAATCATTCTTACCTCTTTGAGACTTTCCTGTGAGTTTTCTATTTTCTTTGTAAAGAGCTTTCAGTTGTTTTTCTAGTTTTTTTAGCTGTGCTTGAATTGTTGCTACTTTCACATCGATTGTTTTCATTTTTAATGACAAATTAATCATTTTAAGTTCAATTTTCTTAATTTGTTTTTGCAATTTAACTAATTTGTACGTTTGTACATGTGTCTTATTGATTTTGGAATGAAGCGCAATTTTAAATGCTTGAAGGTGCTTTTTTTGTGTTTGTAGATTTTTGTGATATTTTTTCAGTGTCTTTATTTGCCCTTTTATTAATGCAATTTGTGTCTTTAATGTTACATTTTTCTGAACAACTTTCAAAGTGCGTCTCACGTCAAAGTTGAGCGATGAGAAATTATCTTTAAATTATTTTTTTCACTTGTTAAATTTGCTCTATGGAAATAATGAAGAAATGAGATCAATACATTTATTTTTTATAACCATATCCATTACGACATAATATTCCTCTAATCATTGATTTAATATAGCCAAAAATGAAATTATTTTAAAACAAACTCGTAAATACATTGATGACTTAACATAGTATAATTTGCAACTTACTGAAAATGGCTTGATGTTTATTACGTGTTATAGCAAACATTAAAGACATCAAATGTCACGTTAAGATACGCGGTAAACATCATAGAAACATTGATAGCGTTCAACAAAGTGAAAAACCAAAATTAAACTTAAAATATGATGACTTACCCTTCAATAATAACACCAATACAAAAATTACGACCAACGCAAAAGCAAATTTTGCCATTTTATGATATGATCGATATCCACAAGCTTGGAGTGAGGACAAGATCATGGAAGCTCTATTTATGTATTTAACAATGTATTTTAATAATTTATTGCCAACTATCGATGATGCATGCACGTAATTTCATGTTAAGTATTCATGAAGAATAGGATGGTTTCAGCTGATAATAAAGAGTTTATTATTTGAGATTTAGACAGTAGCCATTTTATGCTCGAAGTTTCGTCAAATGAATTTGCAATCTATTACAAGTTCTTTCAGCTATTTATTGTATATAGTCAAACCTTGATGTAAATCAACTTGCACGAAAAAATTTCCTGTCTTTAGTATGAAAAGCAATTTTACTATTTATAGGAATAACAGACACAACAGTTTGTCTACATATTCAAACTGAAAATATTGCATCATATGTTTGCAATTTGTAGTTGATTACACATTGTTGTTTACTTATTTGATATTTTGTTGTATAAAACATAACAAATTTACAAATTATATAAATTTCTATGCCTAAAACTCAACCCAACTGTATTCCTGTCTACAAGTGATATGTATTCTTGTTTTCAAATTCAGTCTCAGCACTCAATTAAATTAAGTAATTAATAATTTATATGCACGACTTACAAAGAAACCTTTAAAACGTGGCACTTGATACAGATCATTTTAAATATAGATATTTTGTGTACATACTTTTGATGCAATAAAATTATTACAAGCTGTATTTCGCCGTTGACCATTCTTAAACAATTTATGTCGCAGCTATGTTGAACCAAACTCGCAATAATTCCCCACAGCTGTCTCCAGTATAAAATTATATAAAAAACTCATTATTCTCAAACAGCTATTTTATTGTTAATATCAACTTTGCACGTACATTGAAGGAAATTGTTGTGTCATAACGAACAACACATGCAATTACGAACATATTAACGTTATAAACAAACTTTAAACTTGAAACTTCACTTTAAATAATGAATGTACAGGACATTTTTTGAACGGGGTCCAAAATGAGAAAAATGTTTTATTTACAGTTCATGCTGCATGTAATCCTGCTGTCAATCTCTCTGTGTTTATACTCACGGTAAAACAATGAATTTGTATAGACATAAATAAGGATGATGCAAAGCTGGACTAAAAAATTGAGAACCAAAACATCACTTGAAACATAGCTACCATCAAGGTATGTAGCTATAAACTTCTACCTCCAAACGACCGAAATTATCCATTTAAAAGTAGCTTGTGTTGATGCTTATTTTTAGTTTTAGTGCTAAATGAAATTGATAATTAATTCATGCCATTTTCAAAGATAATAAAACACAAACGTGAATAATAAAACATACGTTGAATGATATTAGTTGAAATGATTTCAGTTGTTGTATATTTCTTAAAATGATTAATTTCTCACTAGTCTACATCATGTGTTTTTCTTTTTGTATGTACGCTAATGCCTTATTGAAAACGTGATCCTTTAGAGAACCTGACATCGATAATCCAACTTGAGTTGGTTGAATATGCCAGTAATGTGTTTGGTTCTCTTGGCCTTTGTAAGCAACACGACAGATTTACAAGACGTTTAATAAGAACATGTATTTTAAAAGTGATTAACAAATCCTTCCTCTTTAAAACTGAGATATTTTCCTCTGCTGCATGATGTTACGTTCTGGCAGAATCTTCTACACTAGTCCCAATGATATTCACAACGTTTCTGAAGATTGCAGAGCGAGCATGCTGGGTACAATGGCTGGGTACTGCAGTATAAAATTAATACGCATGCGCACCATTGCTTTTCTTTATGACGCGCTTTCGTCAACGAGAACAATGCTGAGGATTTTTGTTCTAAATTACTCATTTCATTCCTAACGATTCGGAGATGACTTTAATCCACCAAGAAACGATAAAGTGTTTCAGCAATGTGATTACCTTTCTTCATCAATTATAATTTTGATTCGGTTTTGTAATGTTGTTTTATTTATCTTGCTATTGGTAGAGGATAATTAAGCCACTGATATGTAAACTGGATTATGCCTCCACGTACATATATAGTAGTCTATGTGAACAAAAAGGCTTCTCCCTACGGCAACGAAAATATTGAAGCCAAAAATAACAAATCGATCAAGAAATTGTTGACAAACAAAAGAAAAAACAAGCGAAATATTTCCACGGTGGCAGCAAACCATTAATAGATCTCAACCCAGGAGATACAGTGCGTATACGACCAGACCAGACGTGCAGGGCATGAAGGAAAGGAGTGTGTAACCAGAAGTTTGCGCCCACGTCGTACCAAGTTATTTCGGAAGGCTAAATATGCGGACGGAACAGAAGACATCTGGCGTTTACTAAAGAAAGGGAAAGGTTGATACAGAGCGTACTTAGGAAGAAAATGAACAATCTGAATCCGAAGACCCAAATGAGCAATCGTTGCTGTTAAGTTCTCTACGCAAGACACGTCCACAAATGTCAGTATAGAAACCAATCAGGCACGACCAGACACCGACATATCGAACCCCTCAGTCAAAAGAAAATCTTCTATAGGACATAAATTACAATGAACGTTTTACATGTGATTACCAATTTTTATCAAAACTACTTTTAGGTCTGTCGGACATAGTACATCGGGCCTTTTGACCGGATCAACTGTATTGGAGCGAGATTCTAGCGCATTCTTAATTGATGGCATCGTTACAACTCATACTTTTATCAATAGAGTGGAGATTATGAATGAGTTCATTACACATCCTGTTGTTTACTGATTTGATATTTTGTTGTATAAAACATAACAAATTTACAAATTATATAAATTTCTATGCCTAAAACTCAACCCAACTCTATTCCTGTCTTCAAGTGATATTTATCCTTCTTTTGAAATTCTGTCTCAGCACTCAATTTAATTAAGTAATTAATTTATATGCACGACTTACAAAGAAACCTTTAAAACGTGGCACTCGATCAGATCATTTTGAAATATAGCTATATTTTGTGTACACACTTTTGATGCAGTAAAATTAATTACAAGCTATACTTCGCCGTTAACAATTCTTAAAACAATTTACACTGTACAAAGTCATTTCGCCTTTAACACTTTATATAGTATTAAAGTTTATTTCTAATGAAGTTTGTTAAGGATTCTGCTGAAAGTTTTGGTGAACCATTTCTTTAAAATGAATATATTATTTCTATAACATGAAAAATTTCTGTTGTTGAAGAACAGTCTGTTAGCTATAAATGCTACTGTTTGTAGTCTTTTATACAGCATATGAGTTTGATCCAATCTTTAATTTAGGAAAGAGTTAAATATATGGGTTGAGGAATGACACAGACCTGCCAATTCTCCCGGTTTCGCCGGGAGACTCCCGCTTTTGCTGCATTTTTCCCGTCCTCCCGACAAAGATACTAAATCTCCCGGTTTTTTTAAAGCTTAGGCTTTTAGAAGTTTGTTGGCATTTTTATTCATCGCATGGAAAGAAATACTCGATGAATAGCATTCAAAACATAACGTATTGTAGCCGCGGTGCGCCGGGAACTGGGCATGACATTGATTTTCGTTATTTCGTATAATTATGTAACAGAACATGGCTGCTTGTTAAAATTTTTGTGCATAACACTTGAGGTAATCATTGCCATTTGCCTAATAAATCAATCTAAAATATGTCGTATACAAGAATAGAAATCTCCAGTTTTTTTGCCAGATCTCCCGGTTTTTCCGCATTAATCTCAAGGTTTTGTATTCCTTGTGGTTGGCAGGTCTGATGACACAACTTCTGTATGTGTTTATTGATCATACAGGGCAGTGTTGGTGGATGCTCAGCCCCGTTTGTTCAAAGTATATGCCTTGTATTACCAGTGAAATATATATATCAAAAAGCTAGCAGCACTTAAATATACATCAGAAAGCCAGCAATATTTTAATATATATCAGAAATGTAGCAACAGTTTTTATATGCATAAAAGAGCTCAAAGAGCTGAAATTATGGAGATATGCCTCTGTGATCTTATAAACCAAAACCTACAATTAAAATATCATTGACAAGTCTAGTAAAGAGAAGTAATGTTCTACTTTGAGCTACAGAAGTAGGGTACATTTGTACAATTCATTACCAAATATATATTGTACTCAGCTGTTTCAGTGAATATCCTAATTATAATTACTTTATTTTTAAATGATGAACTAAAAATACAAAATACAACATGGAAAATCATAAGAGTTGCTGTGATTTGGTGTAGTTGTTTGTTTTATAGTGGAGGTGGCTAAGAATTGAGAAGTTTGTAAATTGACCCATTTCAGAACATAATGAGAAATCATCTTCGATTAGAAAACAAGCTTTGGAGATTCTCTACTTGAGTCAGTTAATTGAACCTTATATCAAAAGCAGTTTAGCTCAACAAATCACCATACGCAATCAAATTTCGTAAGTTCGACGTAAGGCATTTCTTTCATGTTTTTCGTAATCCTCGATTCTAGCGATATGTAATGACATTTAGTAGCCGTCAGCAATCAGTTATTACACACTTATCCACAAAAAAAAGCAATATTATCTCAAAATACTGTGTTACTAGCAGTAATTTACGGTGGCCCAGAGGTGCAATACACAAACACGAATTCAAATACTCAAACGCAAATTCCAATACACAAACGCAAATTCAAATACACAAACGCAAATTCAAATACACAAACACAAATTCAATTACACAAACACAAATTCAATTACACTAACGCAAATTCAAATACACAAACACAAATTCAAATACACAAACACAAATTATAATACACAAACGCAAATTCAAATACACAAACACAAATTCAAATACACAAACACAAATTATAATATGCAAAATTCATATCCGGTTAATTTGCTAGCCAAATGTGTTCTGAGTTTACAAAGTTGCCGAAGTGCAGAATATTGTCATATTCTTATATTTTCGTTTTATTTGGAGAAAGTAAGATAAATACAGAACATTCGTGAAGTATTTATTACATTTAGCGTTCACGTATATGTTCGTGTTATCTTTCCCGGCTGTTGGTAATGTGAACTTGAACACCATGTTTTGTACAGTATGCGGGAGTTTACTAAATACAAGGGGTAATTTTTGTGCTAACTGTGGGACGGATCTTCGAAAGTCTGACGAACAAAGACCTTGAGGAAAAATGATCCATCAACATCAGCTGGGCCTTCTAATGATCCTCGTGCCACCAAACTTTCGACTTTTAAAGAGTATTGGGCAGATATTTCATTTGCCACTGTTGAGACAAGGAAGCGTCAAGATCGTTTTGTCTCCACGAAAAAGAGGAAGAAGAATGAGACTGTCAAGGTTTGTGATTATTACTACCTCTGCAAATAGGTCATGTCAATAATTATTTGAAGGATGGGTGATGGTAGTGAATAATTATATTCAATGCTTGTTTTTATGTAGATATTAGTTATGTAATTCCCACCTATTTAAGCTGAAATATAAAATGCTGCTATAAGAAATTTGTTTTTTTTTGCAGTCATTCGAATCAACACAATAATACTTTTGTTGCATGCTTTAAAAAATCAGGCTCAGGTTTTCATGGAGAAGGATGGAATAGTATTTTCCATTAAAATGTCTAATTATTTTTTCATTCTTCATCACACATTTTGTGATGCCAGGTCATGAACACCTAGTAACTGGATATTTTTTCCACCCCAGATAAACATTGGAATTATTGAGCTGGATGGGAATCATTTGAAAATTAAGCGAGGCTCGCTTCTTCCTATTGATGTAAAAAATGTGATTCTCATGTTGTGATAAAAACTTCTGGGGTGGAGACGCAACTGGCTCACAATAAGCAACTCCATGATGAAAGTTCCGAATGGGTTTTGTTGTACCCAGATATGGAGTTTTATATTTACCAGGCACAACAGAAACATTTTCTGTAGAAAAGTACAAGGAGTCCCTTGACATGCCATACAGTTGTTTCAATTTGTATGTTTGCAAGACTTTGGATTATGAAAGTTAGGGAATTTTCTATTAATTATTAAAAACACTTTGTTAATGTGTGGGCAATTTATTAATGTTGATTAATACCTAATTATGAGCCTTTAATAATCAAAGTAATTCTGTAAGGTCAAGTATATTAATAATTTCATTTGGTTATTTTTATGAAACTATCATGATACCAATAAAATTAAACACTTACTTTATAAGGAGCTAATATTAAATATTACACATTAATACTGTAAAAGGCAACATTCATTTAGATGTTATACTTGAGAATTCCAATATGAGTGCATAAGGAAATCGGCAAAAGTGTGTTATGCAACAATCTTTATTTAAATAAGTTACATATTTGATAAAAATACAAATATTTGTTTTGTAGTTGCTAATGAATTAGTTGATGATGTTGTGGAAGAACAATTAGATTTGGAAGAAATCAGACTAACAAAGACTCGAAATGAATCATTCTGCACAGAACCACAGCTTGGAGAAGAATCACATTCCACAACTTTGATTGGACTGTCATCTATTGATGATGCAACTTTAACACCACATGCACTAGAGAACCTCCAAAATTGTGATGCTTTTGAGATGAGTACTTTCCAAGGTTTGTGAGTACTATATAGTCTTCTTGTTCTTGTTTGTCTTTTAACCAAAAAGATGTTCTAGAAACATAGTATTGAAGAAAAATAAATACTAATTTGATGTTCAATTAATATTTCATGAAATGATGAGTGGGTATTGTGATGATGGTGCAAAATACCATTGGGAATTCATTCAAAGAAAGTGGATGAATGGAATTTGAAAATAGAACAGTCAGAAATGTTGTGGCTTTTCACTCATCTTTACTATATTAAGTGTTGTACATTGCAGGTGAAAGTTCTGAGGGGCTACTTTGTCCCAGAAAGTATGGCAAATGAGGTGGAGCGAGAAGTGTTGCTTATTCATCGTTGTAATGTGAAAGCTGACTGCTGCACTATTTTGAAAAAGGGATATTTAAAGAAGTGTGTGGATGTCAAGATGATAGATTCCAGAGGTGTCGAGGAAAAGGGGGCAGTCGGCGTTGTTAGGGATGCATTTTCTCTGTTTGGAATGAAATAGAATGTTATTGAGGATGAACGAGTCCCAGTGATTCGTCATGACGTTTCCAGGAGAAGTGGCAAGCGATAGCTAGAAATCTGAAAGGTTACACCCAAGAACGCTATTGAATCAAAATTCTCGCGTTTTGTGCTCCTGTCCTTTGGCGAAGATTATGTCTCAGAAGATATGTACCTGAGTTCCTTTATGAAGTATATTTCGACCACTGAGTCTAGTGTGGTTGAAAATGTACTTTCTCATTCTCTGCAGTTGATGATGAAGATGCAGGATTTTTTAACACGTTGAGTGCAAAATCTAGCGTTTATACAGCGTTTGCCGTATAGCTTTTTTCCCCTCGGTGTTTTGCCGTATAGCTTTTTCCCCGGTGTTTTGGTCGTATATATGTTTTTCCTCGGTGTTTTGCCATATATGTTTTTCCTCGGTGTTTTACCGTATATATGTTTTTCCCCGGTGTTTTGCCG